CCATATTAGGTTGTGCAAGATGCAGCGTTCTTGGATGAGATACTCCCAGGAATCAGGGTCAATACTGAAACTACTAAGTGAAGCCTTCGGTCTGTTCCTGTAGTGTTTCATTTGACTGTTGTGAAAGCACATCCCAGACTCCAGTTCTCCATGGATTGTTCACTTTGGTCAGTGGGTAGTGGGCATTCTGCCAAAAGGACCAGCCCAATGCTGTTTTGACTGTCTCAGTATGGTGTGCTTGGCATTCCAGCTTAATTGGTACCTCAGTGTCTGTTATTTTGACCTGGCTTCTGATCTTCTGAAGCTTTCAAAGGCAGCTGAAACACTTTGAGCTCTTTAGCACGGCATTGCCACTGAGCACAAGTCTTGCATGTATAGAGCAGGGTGGGCAGTATTATTGCTTTTGAGGCTTTCAGTTAGGTCAGCAGCCCTACACCTTTTTGTTCCAAGGTTACAGTCCGAAGTCTGCCAAGGCTGCTTACTTTGGCAATTCTTTGCGTGTCATGTTGATACAGACAGCTGGAGAAAGTGTGCTGGTGAGATGACCTGTTGACATGTTTTATGCATGGACTGTAACGGTGGGCTCAATTCTATGGCTTTCCTGCAGTAGTTAATAGGATAGATGCAAAGAAATTCTTTCCCCTAATAGAGGTGTTTAGGACAATGTTAAAATTAGAAATATTCAGGGGAAATGTCAGAAAGCAATTCTTCAGCTAAAGGCTGGTGGAAATCAGAAATCCTCTCTCAAGAACCTATTGAGGATGGGGTCAGTTGAAACTGTCAAAACTGAAACTGATCAATTTCATTTGGGCAAAGGATATAGAATCAAGGTGGATAAATAGAGCTATGATACAACTCCGCTATAATTGGATTGACTGGCAGAACGGGTTTGTGGGACAGAGTGGCTTTCTCATGTAGGTTTGTAAGGCATGTTATCTCACTGCCTGCCATCATCTCAGCATGCCTTCTAATTTGCTGCTTTCTAAATGAATGTTTGCACAACATTAGGGAGGAAGTATGCCATAGTAGCTAAGTGCTTTTGTTATCTCACAGTGGTAAACCCGATATCAAAGTTATTGTTCCCCTTAACTAAAGAAAGAACATCAGTTCTGCTTAACAAGGAATGGGAATGGACTACCAGAAGAAGTCTCTTCACCAGTGGACTTCAGGGAAAATGGGTTAACGGAAGATATTCCAAGGCAATGCTGAGGGAGTGCTGCATTGTAAGGGTTATGGTCTTACACATGAGACATTAAACCTGAGTCACCGTCTGCCCTAGTATGTGAATGTAAATGATCTCCTCATCCTCTTATGAGGAAGAGTAATGGAGTTCTGCTAGTATCCTGGACAACATTTTGTTTGAGGGTGGCACAGTGGCTCAGTGGTTAGCACTGCTGCCTCACAGTGTTAGGGACCCAGCCTTGGGTGCCTGTCTGTGTGGAGTTTGCACATTCTCCCCGTGTCTGTGTGGATCTCCTCTAGGTGCTCCGGTTTCCTCCCACAGTCCAAAGATGTGTAGGTTAGTTGGATTGGCCTTGCTAAATTGCTCATGGTGTCTAGGGATGTGCAGGCTAAATGGATTAGCCATGGGAAATGCAGGGTTATTGGGTGGGTGTGAGTGGGATGCTCTTCGGAGGGTCAGTGTGGACTTGATGGTCTGAATGGCCTGTTCCCACATGTCGGGATTCTATGATTCTATGAATATTTATCCGTAACAAATGTCACTTTAATGAACTATTTGATCATTGTTATAGTGTTATTTGTGAGAGTTTGGTGACAGTATTTTGATTGTTGTGTTTTCTGTATGTTGCAACGGCGTCTGTGCTTCAAAAACACTTGGTTGGCTGCGAAGTGTTTTGGGATGCCCTGAACTTATGTAAGGTGCTATATAAATGCAACTACTTAAATGAAGAAAAATTTCTGCAGAAATTCAATTTTTATTAATTCTGATGTGGGTGATGACAATGAGCCTACCAATTTCCTTGAAGTTCTCACTGTAGGTTTTTATTTGGTCAAAAATTGATATATCAAATCATATTGCACTAAATCTTTTCTTGAGATACATTCATGGTGGTTGCTTGTCAAAGACTATTGAAGCATTTCTCAAACCTCCAGTTTTAATTCTCAGTGCCAAAGAGGAAACTATATTTTCAGTAATTAATAGACTAGACTAGCAAACATTCCTGGTGAGTTGTGTTCTGTTTAGGTAAACCCAGTTTCAGACAGCTATATACAAACATATTGTGCAGCATCCAGGATTCAAATGGCTCTGATTTCCTGCTTCTGAGTGCTTGCTCCCCCAGCCTTGGCCTCTTAAGAATCATCTGTATTCAATCACCAGCAACATGACATGAATTGCACGCTAACACAGCTACATATGGGAGAATTGGAAGGCTTTTAACACTTTGCGTGATGCAATCCCTGACTGAAATATCTGTGTTTAATTCAGCTACTGCTGGGTTGACTTTACCATGACCCTGTTTTGTCAAGGTTGTGAAATAAATAAAAAGATGGTATAATCACAGTATATCTTTGTCAATTTCACTTGTTAACCTTATTCTTTCTGGACACGTAACTCCTCTCCCCACCACTCTGTGACTGACATCGAAATAATATATAAACCTTCAAATCTGGGGCTTGTTTGATTCAGTGGTCATTCATGTTGCTGATCAAATTCAAATAAAGTCATTTTCACAAACTACATGCCCACACATATTGACACCACACTCTCTGGCAACCATTGACCTTTATCCCATCTGCAGAAATATACTGACACCCTGGCAGTCTCCCCATCTCCCTCTCTCTTACATTGACCCCTCCCATACTTGCACACACTGACTCCTTCCCCACCCGCTTAGAGTGACCCCTTCCCCACACACTGAGCCTCCACTCCCTCTCACTGACCCATCTCCTCCTGTATGGAAACCCTCAGTCCAGTGGCATGAGAACATTACCTGAAGTGGCAGTTCAGTGCTGGAGGAGTGAGGCATTTTTGGTGATGTTATCTACTGAATGAGGTTACACCAATGTCCGGCCTATCTTGTCTGATGTGTGTAAAAGATCCTGTAACACTATTTAATGAAGAAGGAGTGAGTTCACCTCGTGTCCTAGCCAGTATTGATCTCTCCACCAACACCACTAAAAGGTGTTAATTTACCTCATTGCTGCCTGTGGTGTCTTGCAGTATAAAATATTATGCGCCATATTTTCCTACAACATAACTGTGGCTATGTTTCTGAAGTTTCTTTGTTTCCTGATATGAATGTAAGGCATTGTTGTTTGAGTGTGTTCTATGCTGAGCTCTGTGCGTTCTGGTTTCTGTTTTGCTGCAGGCCACTACACACAACCTACTGTTGAGTCTGAATTTTCATTGCACACATGCTCACAGCCTAGTCCTGTTAGTTCCAGCTTAACGTTTGTCCCAAAACATGGCTGGTTGGCTCAGTTAGGTCGATGGTTAATTTGTGATGCAGAATGTCACCAACAGTCCAGGACCAACTGAAGGTTCTGCCTTCTCAGTCTTGCCCATAACTTCAGGTGTGGTGACCCTCAGGTTAAACCACCAGCAGTTATCTCTCCCTACTGCGAGAATGGTCTTCTGGGATTGTGGTGACTTTACCTCATGTGTAGTTTGTTGCTTTGTAAAGGGAAGCACAAAAACATTTGCAACTAGCCAGATGTGATGGTTAATGGTGTGATTTTTTGCTGGTTTTGTTGGTGAAATTTATGCTGTGCACAAATGAAGGGTTGACCACTTAGATTTCCATTTTAGCATTGACAAGTCAAATAAAAACAGTATGCAAACTTGTGTTGACTGAAGATGTGTACCTTGACCCTACTGCTCGAAGAAGACTGGTTCAAATTATTCTTGTGCAGATATAAAGCCCATATCTTATCAGTTAGCTGGGAGCCTTGCTCAGTGAAAGGAACAATCAGATAACTGGACAAAGAAGCCACTGTGGGCTAACTGAGTTTGCTAAAGTTTATCAAGGGTGGCAAAGATGGAAATCTCCCAACAAGTCTAAAGGTGAAAAGTCTGGGGTGTGTCTTTTCAGCAGCTGATGGACTGAGGCAGTTATAGAGATTGGCAATGTAAGGCAACTTGGAATAGGCTGTCATAAGATTGGAATATTAGGATAATAAAGCAATGGTGTGTTTGTAAGATACATTGGTTTGGCCAATAATAGTTTACATGCAACTTTGGATATTCCATTACAAAGGCCATTGAAGCCACAGAGACTGCACTGTGTAGATTCAGCAGTCAATTTGATGAACCAGTGGGGTTCATTTTGAATTGCTTCAACCACCATTAATAAAACAGAATATCTAGTCATTATCAAATTGTTTGTGGGACCTTAAAGTCAGGAGAACAATGGTGTTTGTGTGAAGTGCTGAGAGACGTTGTAATAAGTTGCAATGCAACCGTGATTATGACAAGAAACGTGATCCAGGCTCTGCATTAGACACTGCAGATTGAAAGAAAGACCTTGTTTTTCTCTGATAGCGCTCAAAACCTCAGGAAATGCATAACTTCGCAATCATTGACGTTCCTTCATGTGTAGTCACTTATAACGAAAAAACGCGGAAGCCAACTTTGCTTAGAGCAAGTTCTCACGAACTTTAATTTGATAATAGCCTTGCGTTATAATCACTTCTGGTGGTTGAGGGCAGAACAGTGCGCCGACCTTCCTTGCTCTTTCTTCTTAAGGTCCTTGGGAAGCTTGATGCCCATTCGAAAATGTGGATGAGGCTTCAGTTTCATGTTCGATATTAATGCAGGAATCTGTTGCCATTAGCCTCTCTGCGCCAAGCCTTAGCACTGTGCTTAGCTGACAACAATGGATTGGAAAATACAACCTGGGTACAACAGTACTGTCCCTTGCTGTCTTGTTACAAACGTTTCCACATCACATAAACTGGGACACGTTCATACCGACCAGGCCTGTTATTTCAGTTAAAAAACAACTTCCGGGAATGAGGTAGTACTATTCCTGTAAATCAGGAACAACAACAGCCAATGGTTTTGGGGTTGAGCTCACTCTGTTGCTGTGTTATTGGTTCAGACTTTTTGACTGCTTTCCAGCAAGCGAGAGCGAGGGAGGAGACTTGAGACGGAGCAGTTTTGTAGTTGATTTTTCTTAGAAACTGCAGAAGCCGTTCCCTCAACATTGGGAGCGGAGACTTGTTGTCGTGACGGTTCTGCTGTCGCCCTCAGGTATGTACACAACAGGTTTTACTGGGGTTTTGTTCAGTGCTCCAGCTGAGAGTGTGTTTTGACATCGTAAGGGAGAAAAACCAGGAAGCTGCAGGATAAATTTGTAAAGTTACTGGAACTGCTACTGTGTTAATTGTTAACTAATATTGTTCTCAGAATAGGAACATGTTACTTTCTTCCTTATCAAAGAAAAATCGTGATTGGATTTTTTTTTAAATTTTGAAGTTCGATGTTTTTTAAACCTCACAGGGTCTTACCCCACCCCACCAACCATGTAGTACGGGGTTGGAATCTGCGGCATTGTTAGACTGCACACTTTCCATCTTTGTGGGCATTTTGGTGAGATGTGATGCTGGTTAGTAGCAAGCTTGTTTCGGGTAAACACAGACCTTGTAACCTTTTTTATGATTTCCGGGAACAAAAGAGCGAAGCGTCTTGTCAGAAAACACCACTTCTGATTTAGAAACAGACAGTGACAGTCTCAACAGTTCCATCATGCTGACTGCGTGTATCAATGGTTCATTTTGAACGGGTTTTACTGAGGAATAATTCTGCCTTTGTAGTCCGTCCTTGGGAGCTGCACAGGGTAGTTGGAGAGTAGCTGTTCCCACTCCTTGAATGATTGAGAGTGTGATGGCAGGGACATAATTTGCAAAAGAAACAAATGCAAAGTGAGAATAAAAAAAAACCTTTCACACACTATGTGGTTAGGCTGCGGTACAGTGGGTCTGCAATGCACTTTCTGAAAGCATGGAGGCAGCTTCAAATGAGACATTCAAGACCAAAGATATAGCAACTTATAGAATCCCTGGGGCTGTATGTTTTGTCATGTATATGTACGGTATATAGTTCTTGTCATATTCACATTCATGTTCCAATTTCACAATTTGATTGAGTCTCCAAACAGTGCAAAGTGTTCACTTGCAGCATCGTACTATTTTCTTGTATTTTTCTGTTTTGTCTGATTTAAATTGTTTTGAAAGGGGCTTACATATTATTTGTAAACAAAGTTTTTTCTTCTTGCCAAAACAAAAAACCAAGATTGTCTCTATTTAAATAATTTTCAGGGTTGTGGGGAGAAGGCAGGAGAATGACACTAGTCATAATACTCATTCTGAGGGACGCAGAATGGATTCACACAATTAGTTTTATGATTTGCTGCAATGTCACTTTGCCCTCAGTGTTCAGTGCTGCTGGGTCATTGTTGTTCAAGGTGACTGTTCTTGCACTTGTGGCTGGCTATCTTAAACTTCCTCCAGTATGGCTTTTAAGAACTTGGATTGAACCCAGTGAAAACAGTCTTAAGTTCAGAAGGTGCAGGCAGACTGCTGTGGAAGTTATTTATTTCTGGGACCTAGTTTTCTACCCAGCCCAGACGTGATATAAAAGACTCTTCTCTCTGCCATTCAAAGGCTCCTAAGTGGAATGTGTGCAGGTAGTCTAAGCCCATTTCCTAGTTGGCACAAGCCCATAGTATACAACTAACAGCAGCTTGTAGGTATAAAGATGTTAGTTCCATACATAGAAACCACAGGCTGGCTGAAGGTGAGGGATATTAAATAATTCACAGTGGCCATATAGGCTTCTCTTGCAGGGTGCCAGTTAAGAATCATTTTTGGGTGAGTGACAGTCCACGCATCATCTGGTTTATGCCACCAACCCTAAGAGTAACTTATGGGTCTTAGTGTTAAAGTATTCAATTTTGAGCTATTGTGCAGATTTACCAAAATAAAATGGAAATGTCAGCATTAATTTTTTTTATTGAGCAAATGCATTTGTGAGACTGATAAGTTGATAAATTTAGACATCTTTGTGAGAAGAGCAGATTGGGCTGTGCAAACATATTTTGCACAGCTAACTCTATTGGACAGAAGTGACTTGTATGGAACATGTAAACTGATATGAGCTTGTTGGACCAAATGGCCTGTTGGTACTGTAAAGACTGTGTAACACTATTTTCTTGATTCCTTTTTTCCCTTCATTTCCCTGAAGTACCTAGTGCCTTGTAGTCAAGCATTTCCGTGAGCTTTTAGCTGTGCACTATCCTCTGTATATTGCCCAAATGATCATTATTTGAGAGTCAGGACAGTGAGTGCCATGGGTGCACCACAGCAGGGGCATCACAGCCAAATCCAAACACACCCCATTGTGCCAAAAATCTGACAGGGGCCATTAGATAGCACTTGGGAATGGGAACCATAACTCTCGATAACCAAACAGCACTGAGGCATTGTCTGAGGAGAGCAAACTCTGTTATGGCTAAGATTCCAAACTGACACTTTCTTTTTCCTGGTTGTTGTAGCTCAGGCAAACTCAATGTGTCACTGGGTGGAAAAAATATATTTCCCAGTGGAAATCAGTCTGGAACAAAACACATTAGCTATTGTGCCAAATTAGCCTGGATGAACTTCTGGTAAATTTGGCAGCAACAGATAAGCTGAACACACAAGAGACACCAACATACAGTTCCTTGCCTCTGTGGACAAGAAGATCTGTGCTACTAAACAATGTCAAATTGCACAGCTGAATTGTATAGGTGAGCTGAGGGTCCATGCCCACCCAGGGCTAAAGTAAAAGGGCAGAACCAAAGGCAAGCACCAACAACCCCTTATCAATGATGGTTGAGTACCTCAATTTTACTGTCTTTGGCAAGTTGTAGACCTGCCTGTGAATACTGGGTGCTCGTTAAGGTCTCCATTTATTTCTCAATGAACACACAAAACAGATTAATGATTAATTGCTCCTTGTGGGATCTTGCTGTGTGCAAGTCCGCTGCCAAATCTCTTTAAGTTACCACAGTGACTACACTCCAAATGTAGTTGTTCTGAGATGTGAAATATTAAGTCTTTTGACTTTCAACAGTAGCGAAAAGAAGTGTGTGAAGGATGGATATTGTGAGGCAGCAAGGATGCCATACATTAATACTCTGGACACTATTATCGTTGGGGTTATTTAATAAGGAATGCTGATAGAGTGTGGAAATTTGCCTATTTAATTCATCAATGGATGAGACTTTGGCGCTATCCAAATTCTGTTTGCTTTCCAAGTTTTACGCAGGAACCTGAGCACAAAATATAGGCAGGCACGCCAGCAGGGCACAAAGGCACTTCTGCGATATTGGTGGTACCATCTTTGAAATGAGATGTTGAACTGAAGCTCAGTTAAAAGCAGATTTTTGAGTCACTATTTCATGGCTGTTTGAGGGCAATGCTTCTATGTTTGCAATACTTCTTTGCAAAGTATTTTAAAATGTAACAGTCTGACAGTAACTACTGCTCAAGATTACTTCTTTGCTGAGTAGCACATTAGGAGCTCATGTTTTTCCTGTTATGAAACAACATGGTATGAAATTGGCAACAAGGCATGTCTGCTGGGAATTCCCAATGTAAAATGACAACAATTAACAGCTAAATCAAACCCTGAATACAGAGAATAAATCTCAGCAAGACTTAAAAAAAGCTGTGAGAAAATAGTGTTTGGACAATCTCTATCTTACAATGAAGAACACAGTTATTCGAAGGAAGTAGAGAACCTGGGATTGTACTTCTTCAAAGCAGAAAGGATAAGGAGAAAGATAACAAAGGTGTAAAAATTGGTGAGCAGCTTGGATTAGAGTCAGTAAGAAGAAACTTGTTTTCCATATGCAGGAGAATCAATAATTGGAGGGAGCAGACTTAACAATAATTTGCAAAAAAGCGAGATCTTTTTTGAAGTAGTGAGTTATGATGTGGAATATGTTGCCGGAAAGGGCAGATGCAGTTGTAACTTTCAAAAGAGAATTGGATATATGCTGCATGGAGGAACACGTTGTGAAAATGTTGGCAACAAGCAGTGGAATGGAATTTATTGGATGGCCCTTTCAAAGAGCTGGCAGAGCCATCATGGGCTGCATGGCCTCCTCAGTATGTGGCATGATTCCATGTCTTGCAACTGCAGATTGGTACCTCCCCAGTTGATGTGACTCATCACTTGGCTAAGAAGTCAAATTGAACTCCTACTTTGATTTTTATTTTATTTTCCTTTCTTTGGAATTTTATTTTTTTGCTTGCATTCCAGATCAAGTTGAAGAAATGGCAGTCAAACACTCATCTCGACACACTGCTGAATCAGACATCAGGGACCAACAGGAGCTCCCAATCAGCCAGATGGAGAGCAAAAGGTCTGAGATCAGTGAATACAAGCGCTGCACAAAGATGTGCCTCCCAGAGAAAGTTTTAACGGAAGGAACGGCAAAACAAGAAACAGATGAAAATGGAAGCAAATATTCATACATCGCACAGGCGACAGGTAAGCAGAAAATCCTACTGTGTTGCATTAGGCACGAATCGCATCACTCACTGAGCAGAGAGTTTGTAGAAGTCAACTGAAGATGTGACATGTCAGCACTTTTTTCATTCTATGGCAGTGACACTCATAGATGCCAAACCCTGAAAATGTCAAGAAGCATGCCTTTGTTCTCAAGTGATTTTATTTCTTTCTAAAAGGTTAAAGATTGTTAACTGTATAACTATAAGGATCTATTCTGAAATGGAAACAGAAATGAATCCTAACTCATCTTTTGTTATTGTGTCAACTGCAATAATCAGTCAGTGGGTTGTTGATGTTCAAGGGCACACCCACTGCTTCCCTTTATGACAGAAGCATTGTATTGTAGAGGAAGCATTCACATTCATTCTTGGGTTTTGAATGACCTAATTACAAGTACAAAGTCACTTTTAAAATATAGATTGGAGCAAAACCTTTTGGATGAGTGGGGAAAAGAATTATTGAGGGAATTAGAAATATGTATGAAAATATAATTCACTAAATGCTGAAAAATAACAAGCTACTCCTTGGGTCAGCAGGTAGCTGGTCACTGAACACGAATTATCTGTTACTGAGTTAGATATCATTTGTTCGAGAATTGCTCCCTACTTCCAAAATAACTCGCGATGAAATTGATTCCTGCCCAGTACGATTGACAAACTTAGTTTTGTTAGCTTCCTCTGTTTGGATTAATATGGTACTTCTAGGTAGCATTCGCTGCAGACACCCTTTGTGCAATGTGCAACAGATTCTATGTTTGTCTTTTTAGGTGTGGGGAACCAGAAGCTCATTCCCAGTTGTGAGAAGCCGCAGTTTATTGCTACACCTAACAGTTACAGGTAATGAGTGTTTGATTAAATACAGCTTCAATATAGTCATTCCTTGCTCAAAGGAGAAGGGGTGGCCTGGAACTAGACAAAAGTTATCCGTGATGGGATAACACAGTGACTCAGTTATACACAATTATTGAGTGATTAGCCTACTAATAGTGAAAGAAATATTTAGAAGAAAGCGTCTAAACCCAAGGGAATGCAAGCCAAATTTCAGAAACCTGTCTACATTAAGAATTACATTGAAAATAATTGTATGTAGACATGAAAAGTTGGATTGAGAGAGGTATCATTTTAAGTTGGTACTGTACTGTGGGCTGTGCAAATTAAACTGAAGTCTGTGAGAATACCACAGTAATAATCACATCAGTACTTATTTATTGACCATATATTTTTTGTTTCTTCAGTAACCATACAGAAAGGTTGAGTTTAGAAAGTATTCCAAATAATGTGGCAAAGGTCGTAAAAGGGCAGCTGCCCCGGATGCAACAGGACCATGAACTTAATAAACATCCCAGAAGGAAGCGTGGGAAGAGAAAATCCAAACATAAGGTCAAGGGAAAGACCAAGGCTTCACAAAATCGATCCAAGACTCCTGAGCAGGAGAGCTGTCCTCCTATACCAGTACAAGTATGTGGTAGCCTCTCTCTGAATCTCTCTTTATACTCCTGTTTTAGATTTATCCTCTGTGTGCTTACACTGTGCTCTTCAGCAATGATTACAGTTTCCAGAAATGAACTCCGGATTCCAATTTGTCACTTAAGCCAAGCAGCAAATGTTGGGAATACTCAGCTAGTCAGGCAGCACCTGTGAACAGAGAAACAGAAGTAACGTCTCAGTTGATACGTAACTTCACTTATCACTGTGTCCTCTCCAGAAAAGAGGACAGACTCTGTCAGAAGATCTTCATCTGACGGAAAAACAACCTTTTTCTTCCACCCATTCCTCACCTTTGTCAACTTTTTAAACAGCCGATTAGCCAAAGCATTCAATAAAATTAGGGGGAGGGGTGTTGACATGTTTTTAAAGTAACCCTATGAACTTTCTCTAGGATTGCTTGCTGAGGTAGCTGGGACATTAACCTTTGACTCCTGGAGACTCCAGGACAGGTTGGCATCATAAATTCTCACAACATCTAGTTTGATACGTATTTGATAATACATTTCTACCCTTCTGTTGCCGTGTTCATCCTAAGCCGACAAACAATGGCCTACCATTTTTATTGAAGCAAGCTTCGTGGTCTCTGCTGATTCTAGTCTAGACTCTGGAGGCCTCTTACAGATTTATAATGGAACTCGATCCCTGTGGTAGTGAAGTGTCATGTTTTGTATTTACAGGAAGACGATGCTGACAACAGCACCTCCGACTTTTGCAGCAGTACCACTGTCAGTGGCAGTAGCTGTTGTGAGCTTGAAAAAGTTCACCTTCGCACAGCCGAGAGAGATTCCCTCGGATTCTGTGGGTTGGGCCTGCAGAACCGCTTCCGTGAAGATGAAAAGATTGAGAACATATTCTACAATATTCAAAACTTTGAAAACACAGTGAAGAAGTCTAACGTTAGGCCTATACCCTCATCATCCATGAAGAATGGTGGCCATGTGCACAACATGGCTTTTCCAAAAGTGGCCAAGAATTTAGACTGGAAGTTACACATGGACTCAGTTCCACAACCTGAATTAAACCAGCTTGATCCAACTAAGACATTTAAAAAACAGGAACTATGTTTGAAAAATAATGCAGCTATGCTTTACATCAATGATGAGGGAGGAGACACTGGAATACGGATTCCTGATTCAATCAGTGCAGAAGAGACCTCTCCCCCACAGTTCTCTACCAGCCACACTGATGCTAGGAAGGGCTATGTGATCTCTGACAGTATAATGTACTTGGGAAATCATGCACTACAGTGGGAAAACTACTCGGAAAGGTGGAAACAAAAGGAAAAGCTTCCAGAAACCAACGAAGGTGTCCTTCAACATGAGGTAAAACACATTCAAGATACTAAATTATGCTGTTACACAGCGTAATGTTGCTAATCCAGTCTGATATATTGTCTTCACTTAACACATTGATGTATCTGGAATACCAAAGCTCAAAGCTTCTCTTATTCCAAGTAGGTTTCGCCTCTGATTCTTCATGTGCTAAACCCAGATCGAACTCTTAATTGAGATGAGGAATAGGCAATGGAAGCCATTTAATAGATCCAGAAGAGTCCCGTTGAAAGTGTCTACTCCATCTGCTTCAGAACAGTGCGGTCTCTCTTCCAAGCCTTTGATGGAGCTGTCCATTGAATTGTCAACCTAAGCGTTGACTTACCTCCTAATCATTGGACATTGAATGGTGTGAGCTGCGATGTAGGTTACCATTTCTCATGGGTTCTGACTGGTCTGTGATATTCAGAACACCTAAAAGAGAAAAGGTGGACATGTATTTTACACGGTACCTTTCACATTCTTGGGTTTCCCAAACAGTCGTGTCTCAGTTCTTTCTTGAATTGTAGCGAAATGAGGGAGCCAGTTTGCACAATAGATCTGACAACCAGCTATTGAAATGAAGAGCCTGTTTACTTATATCAGTGGCAGCAATTGAGGATAAATATTGGCCAGGGCAAGCTCCATGGTTGGATTCAGTGGAGTCCCATGGGATTTTCTGTCCATCTAAATAAATGAGATGTTCATTTCATGTCTCATTCTGAAGATCGTGCCTAAGTCAATCCCCAGTGTTACATTAGAATATCAGGTTGGGTATGTGTGGGTTCATTCAGCCCACATAAATGCCTAACTCTAGGGCATAAACTGATAAACTCGGTCAAGCCAACACTTGACTCAGCTGAGAAGCTATTGCCTCTTTTGAAGAGAGTATCTCTCAGTGTTTGAGGAAGGAGGAGTAGTTTGCATTATCATTGCTAGCAGTAGCATAGTAGGCTTTCGAGGCTTAGAATCTTGAAATGTGGAAGCTTTCTGTGGCTGACATTGTGTGTTTTTATAAATCAAACCTGCATTGAAATGGATTTCATTTTCACTGTTCAGAAATTGCAACCTGTGGACTCTGAGTACAAAGAAAACAGACAGTGGTCGCTCATCTCCAGTCCTCTGGGTGTTGGAACCTTTGGGGAAGTGTATGTTGCGAAGGATCACTCGACTGATTTCACCTGTGCTGCTAAAAGGGTAGGTTTGTACACTTGGAATTGTTATATTTTAAATGTCTAGGCAGTATTGTAGTCAAATGAGTCAAGAGTTGACTAGAGTACAATATGGAAAGAAACCATTTGTTTGACTCATTACATCTCAGTTCATTTATATGGTGAGCAGTTCACTTGTACGGACCAAGAGGGCCCCATTTCTGATTCCCCAGTCTGTACTATATAAATCTTGACCAGAGCGTCTCTGCTAGATACCTCTATTCTAAGGAAGGGGTAATTGAGCAAGGCTCCTCATCATGGTTAAGTGAGACACTGTCGAAGTGAGCAAGTTAGGCAAGGAGAGGACTCAGTTCAGCTCTGCTGTTCTCCGCAGTTGGACAGCTTTGCTGTCAAGACTTGTGTACAAAATGGCTAACTCAATACTATATCTGACAAGATATCACCAAATTAATAATAGATGGGGAGGTAATGTGTACTGATAACTTGGCCACACAGTATTCTCAGGAGCCTTGGGCAAGAAAGTGTGGCTAAATCACTTGATCTTTAAAAGTTTTGTGGCAGAATGGAGAACACTTTGAGAAACTGATACACATGGCATTATTAAAATAAAACTGATATTAAGCAAATCATTCTTGTCCAGGGTGATCATAGAATCCCTGCAGTGTGGAGGCAGGCCATTCAGCCCACATCAACCCTCCAAAGAACATCCCACCCCATCCTTGTAATTCTGCGTTTCCCATGGCTAACCCACCTAGCCTGCTACCTATGTGTGAATTAGCAATGGCCAATCCATCTAACCTGCACATCTTTGGACTGTGGGAGGAAACCGGAGCACCCGGATGAAACCCGTGCAGACACGGGGAGAATGTGCAAACTCCACACAGACAGTCGCTCAACGGTGGAATCAAACCCAGGTCATTGGCATTATAAGGTAGTAGTGCTAACCACTGTGCTGCTCTGCAGCAGTGAAATGGCAGTGAAACTCTCCAGCTCTTCCAGTTTACCATATTTCGCTTGTAAGACTTGTGTGTGTCAATAGCATTTCTTGTTTAATTCATAATAAGACAAGCAACCAAATGATGTTAACCTCTCAGCAACTCCTAATTTACAGAACAGTACTAATGGTGCTATTTGCACTGAATCCCTAGATTTCAGTCTGATAGTTCTGCCTTGATATAAGCATAACATAGAAACAAATAATGAGTCTGAGAATGCATTGTCCATCAATCTCCTTTTTCAGATTCACTTGGCTAACTTTCAGCCACAGGAATTGCTGACCTGGAGCAAGTTGAACTCGCGGCACATAGTTCCATTATATGGGGGAATACGAGAAGGGGAAATGATCACTCTTTTTATGCAGCTGATTCAAGGTAAGATGCAAACCCTGTTATAAACACCAGCCCCAGAATACAGAATCGTCCGCACACCAATTCTACCCAGCTCATTATTGCATTCAAGCAGTTAATATGGATTAATGTTCTACCCTGAAAGGGGACTGTATGTGGAATATATTGCGAGTTGATGTGATATGATACTATGTGCTAACTGACAAATGGAGGGATTTTGCTCTCCTTAGATAAATAGGGAAAATAATTGGGCAAGTTGGCACTGCCAAGGTGCCCGCACCTTTCCTGTCACCTCAGCAATTAATTTCTGTATGGGAAGGTCCATGGGCAGCCTTCCTGACTGACTGACTGCCAATTAAAGCGTTTAAATAAGCAGTTAATTGCCTCAACTCCTCACCAGTACCCACCTTCCTGGCCGGTGAGGAAAATGTCAGCCTTTCTGACAGGGAAGTCAAGGTGGCCAGCCTGCCTGCTGTTTAAAGTCACCAGCTACCTAAGTGTCTGCTCACCCCGATCCCATGATTCCCTTAACCTTCTTGCCATTGCTGCCCTTCAGTGTTGGGCCTAAGCCTCCAGAGACAATTGTAGTCCTGATGTTCCTGGCCTCTGATTGGCCAGCAGCATCTGGCAAGGTGGGACCTCATTACTAACACCTAATGGCCGAGAGGTCTGCCATTCAGCCCTTATGTGGCTGATCAGATATGGATGTGGCATTCTTTCTTGCTGGTGTAAGTGAGGCTTGTGGTCCTCCCTCAGGATGCTTCATGCAAAAAGCATTAGAATCAATAGTAGGAGAGAATCCAAGATAAATTGCCACTTGGTAGTTAGGGATGGTAAGTTCAGATTTTTATAAAGCCATTGCTTTTTGTTATTCTGATTGCCTCGATCTATTCTGTCATGATTAATGTTGACAGTCCATGTTGCTACAACTGGACCGGCTCTGGAGTTAAGTCCACATTTCATCAGGGTTGAGTCCAGGGTAGACTGGGATGTGGAAAATCTCAGTCAGCTGGTTTAGTCCAATCACCGGATAACGCAGCAGATGGTAACAGTGATTACTCAATTTGTACAATCCATTGTGTCACCAAATGTGAACAATTTTAATGTATTTTGTACATATCCTGGAATGTTATTTGTGAGATTTCTTGCTTGTTTTAGGTGGATCCATTGCACAACTAATAGTGAATAAAGGACCTCTTCCTGAAGCTCTGACTCTGCATTACACAGGACATGTCCTGGAAGCACTGGAACATCTACACTCACATGGAATTGTGCATGGAGATGTTAAAGGTAACATATTCCACTCTCTTCATTGCTGTTGATTCAAGTTTCCATCAGGAAATATACTTTTGATGTGTCATTGCCAGTGTTAATTTAGACATCATCATAAGATGATCTTTGTTGTTGCAATCCCTTTGATGTTATTGAATGTCTTAAAGTGAGCATTATTTTCTTGACTGGACAATGCACGCTGACCGCTGATCTAGCCAGTGTTAACCATTGCTGTGTTGTCTGTTCCTCAGCGGACAATGTGCTGATATCGCAGAGGGGCTTGGAGGTTTATCTTTGTGACTTTGGACATTCAACACAATTGAGATCAGTGGGCAAGAGCACACCACATGGTAAGAGCTAATTATATGGATTGGTTGGACACACTGAGATGGATCTTAACAAGAAAGTAGCTCAGAAAAGACATGGAGGCGGGGAAGCGGAGATGGGAGAGGAACTGGAAGAAGACAGTATGAGGACTGTTGTGAAACACGGTTCATAGCAGCTTATCATGGGCCTCAAAAGTCTATTTCAATTATGTGGTTGAATTGTTACGACACACACTTCTGTGTACATCACGTTCTGAGGGAGTAACTTGAACCCAGACCTTTAGGCCTATCACTTTGCCACAAGACTCATGGGCCACTATTTAAGGCTGCTGAACTACAGGTAGGAAAGCCAGAGCAGAATGTCTTTAGACTGCCAGGTTTCAGGGGAAAGTAGTTCTTCAGTGGCTTCCTGTGTTGGATTACGAGTAAAACACATCTATTATGTGCAGAGTTATTAGAGAAGCGGTCCTTCAGAACCTCATGGTGCACCTTTCAGACAATCCAGCTGAAAGCAGGCACCTACTGAGGAATATCTGAGAGCAGGCACATACTCCATCTGCAAGCAGTTTGATTGAGTCAGTCGGAACTTGTCTTCATTTTATCCCAAGTGGAGGTGGGCAGTCCATAAATCCTTCTGTACCGCTTGGATACAGCTCCTTCTCTGCTTTTGCAGCATGCTTCTGATAGAATTGTTAGTGAATAAATGTGTTTTAATTCCTTGTCTCTCTATAGGCAATCACTGCTTGGGTACAGTGACACACATGGCCCCTGAGGTTGTTGCGGGTCATGGGTTTGGTGTGAGAGCAGATAGCTGGAGTGTTGCTTGTATGATGCTGCACATGTTAACTGGCTGTCACCCCTGGAAAAATATTTCCACGAATCAACTGCTGCTTAAGGTGAGTTTTAAGTTTAAAACGGTGAATAGCAAAATTTACAATAACTGATGAGTCCAGTGGGCGAAGTTTTATAGGGAGGAAGCACCATGCCATATTAATTGGAGTATGTGTGCATGACTCTCCAAGCTTGAACTGCCAAAATCCTAGACTTGGATGGAGAGATGCTAAGCAGTTGTTTTTACTTTTTCGACACAATGAAGACTGAAGCCCAAATCAGCTTAAGCATTTATTCATTGCTCTGCAGTAGCCAACTGAAAGAATATTGTAGCATTGCCAAACTCCCAAAACTCCTCCATGCCCTTTCTCAATCTCTGGCACTGAAACTGGATTCGTTCTGTGCTGCCACAGAAAACAGTGGCTCGGGTCCATGTGAATATTTCCCATCACTCAAATAACAGTCTAAATGATATCTTGACACTTAACCTTGCCAGTTAACCTTCTGAATTTTAGTCAGCTTGTGTCAAACACATCTTCTGTTAGAGCACTTTTTAAATTAAATCATATTTTTTGTTATTGAGTAATTGTTTTTAAATTTAGTATCCCACAGTTATTAATGCGATTATGCATTGCCACTGCCTTCCTGACTTGTTTCCCAACAGATTGTGACGCAAGATCCTCCAGTGGATGAAATCCCACCCACGTGCAGTCCACACACGGCTAATGTCATCAGGGCTGGTTTGGTGAAAGACCCACAATGCAGAGCTACAGTGTCTGAACTCCATGCCCAGGTGCACAAAGCACTAGCTATACTGCGACAACGTAAGTAGAAGTTGAAGTCTGACAAATTGTCCTCCTTTAGTTGAAGCTGAATATGGTTGCATTAAAAATAGAGCTTGAGGAGGACAAAAGAAAATATAAAATCCTCAATTATTGGCAAAAACACCCAGGGGATGTCTGTGTCTTCCACCACCTGGGTTTGGGCTCTGTCTTGCCCAATGAGATGAAAATCTCCTCTTCCTGGTGTTAGTAAATATCCAAAGTGAGTTTGCAAATTCTCAGGTAAGAGATAACAAGGTCTAGAGCTGGATGAACACAGTAGGCTAAGCAGCATTAGAGGAGCAGGAAAGCTAACGTTTTGGGTCTGGACCCTTCTTCAGAAATGGGTGAGGGGAAGGTGATTCTGAAATAAATAGGGAGAGAGGGGGAGGCGGATGGAAGATGGATAAAGGAGCAGATAGGTGGAGAGGAGACGGACAGGTCAAAGAGGCGGGGATGGAGCCAGTAAAGGTGAGTTGAGGTGGGGAATTAGGGAGGAGATAGGTCAGTCCAGGGAGGACGGACAGGCGGAGACGAACTGTGCTGGTGTTGGGATGTGGTCGGGGGAGGGGAGATTCTCAACCAAGTTTCATCTTGCCTTCTGTCTGTATCTCTGAGCTGCCTTCAAGTGGCAGACAATTGTCAGTCTCACTTTGCAGTAACCTTGAGCAATAAGATAATGTTACATGATGCAGTAAGAAATGTCAGTCTGAGTCTAGGGATAAGGACCATTGTTGGTGAAGTGTACCTTGGAGGTCTGTGCATTGGAAAATATTATCAGAGCAAGTATTGGCTGGGGCTAAAATTGTTTACAATTTATATCAAAGACTTTGACAGAAGTGAATTTACTCTCACCAAGCTTTTCGATGATACAAAAATAGGTAGCAAGGCAAGTAAGTGAGGATGACACAGTGAATCTACAGAGGGATATATGCAGGTTAGGTGAGGAGGCAATAGCTTTAGCAGGTGGAATGTAATTTGGGAAAATGTGAGGTTATGCACTTGGTGTGAAGAGCGAAGGAGCTGAATATTATTTAAATAGAGAAAGCTGCAGCACTGAGAGAATTGGGGTTCCAAGTGCATACAATTCTAAAAGTGAGCAGCCATATTTCTTTCCCATAGGGAACATAAATAGAATGTTGACTTTTATTTCAAGTGCACATAATATACAAATAGGGAAGTCTTACTAAATCTATTCAAGACATTGAAGTAGCGTGAACAGTTTTGATCTCCTTATCTGAAGAAAGATACCATGGCATTTGACGCAGCCCAGAGAAGGTTCACTAGGTTGCTTCTGGGTATGGAGGGATTTTCTTATGAGGAGAGATTGAGTAGTTTGGGCTTGTACTCATTGCAGCTTAGAGGAATAAGTCAACATTATTCAAACGTGCAAGATTCTTAGGATGCTTGACGAGTAGATGCTGAAAGGTAGTTTCTCTTTGCGGAAATGTCTAGGACCAGAGGGCATGATCTCAAAGTAAGGGCTCACTCATTTAAGGCAGATGAGGATTTTTTTTTTTGTCTGAGGGTAGTGAATCTGTGGAATTCTTTACCACAGAGAGCTGTCGAGGATGGATCACTCAGTACATTCAAAACTGAGATATTTAATCAGTAAAGGAATCAAAGATTATAGGGAAATAGCAGGAAGGTGGAGTTGTGGATTATCAGATCAGCCATGATGTCACTGAATGGAGGAGTGGACATAATGGGCTCAATGGCCTACTTCTATGTCTTATGGTTATGGTCCATAGCCTTAAGAAATGGGAGTAGGAATAGGCCATTCAGCCCATTGAGCCTGTTTGCTCCATGACCATGTTGGTTGATCGGCTTGTCGCCTTTGCTCAATTTCCTGTCTGTCACATGACCTCTGATTCACCAGTTTGTCCAACCCAGGCATGAATTCTTTCAGTAACCAACCACAGTAACTAATCGCCTCCATGCTTTGAGCTTTTACTCCTCCACCCAGGTTCAAACCTTTTGAGGCTAGTTATTCCGTGAAGATTAAATAGTGAAGTACATGTGATTCACCCTATGTAACCATCTGGTCACATGTAGAAATAACCTTACATTGTAATGCCTTTGAAAGGATGTGACTAATGGGGTTAACCCAAAAGTGGGTGGAAGTTGCAGTGTCTCTATTAAAACAGTGACACTGGGACTGCAAATGTGTAATATTTGTTTATGTTCCAAGTATTGATATTTTAATTTTCCTCTCATTTGTACTGCAGGGGCTACGGGCGGCTCTCCGACTAATCCAGGTCAGAAAATGACTTGTGCTCCGAGGGCAGATGATGCCAGCTGTGATGGTGCAGGTACTGCGCTGGCAGGGGACCTGAATGCTGGGCACTGTGCCACAAAAGGCCGGCCTCCCCCTGGATCAGAGCAAGTGCCAGCCAACGTTGACTCCGACAAGCACAGATTCTGCTACCTGAAGGGTGGTCCACTTAACATGGGCAAAATGGGCTCAGTGGAAACTCTGACCAAGAAGAGTTTACCACCAGCCTCCCAAAGACGGCCCCGACCCAGAAACTTAATTCGACTGGCCTGTAACTTTAGCCAGCTGCTTCTACGAGATGAAGAGATTCAGATCCCTGAAGAAGTGACTGAGCCCTTCAGTGACGAAGAAGATCTATCCACTCCCTCACCACTGTTATCACTGCATTCACTCCAGAACAACGAGGCAGACAGGAGACTCTTGGAGGAATACGGGAACCTGCAAAGAGGTAACCTGAGCTGTTTTGTGTGTTCCGAATAATGATGAGAAAAACGATCGAGCTCGGAAGTATTGAAATGTTTTGGAAGGATTAGCTAATAAATTCTTTTGATTGTTTGGGCCATTTTCGTATGCAGCACTGTCAAGAGTAGCACCCCTTTTTGGAATATTTTTGTCAAATCTTATTACAAGAAACTTCATTCAGACGGACAGTACCCACCCCAAGAATCACATGGTGAGCAGATCCTTCAAATTCACTGGTCCAACCTGTGAAGTGTGATTCGTCGTTGCCATTCATGATTCCAGTTGCATTAAGTTCCTCACTTCAGTTGTTCAAAAAGATTCAGAGTAACACAGCAATTTTGATCACCAGACTCTCAGAACTTGTCTGGCACTGGCTAAGTGCTAAGTAACAAAGTGGCACTTGTTAATCAGGAGAAAAGGTGTCAGTGACTATACTTCAAGAATATATGATTTGCCATAAAGTGCTTTCTAAGAGACATTCTGAGGTGTCAAAGATGCCACATAATTGCAAGATTTCTTTGAGTGATTAAAAAGTGCAGGAGAGAGTAGAATTTGGGTACCTTTTGCTGCTTAGTTGTGAGTGCACTATTTTCCATCAGTATTTTCTTAAAAGAAAGCAATCGTAATCCTGTTCTTCGTGATCTATTTAGCCTAAAAGATGGTGTGGCTTGCTGTTAAAATACGGATTTAGCATCTTGTCTACTTGTTTTCCTCATAATCTTTTTATTTGATGTTTCAGAATTTCTACTTTACAACTTATCCCAAGTGTTTCCGGAAAGGTTGGAAGACCACATATTAGATGTGTTAAGCAGTGATGCATACAGCATAATGGAGGACTGTGATAAGGTAAGCTACTCCGTTACTAGACTGCACAGATCGATTTATATTATCAAGAAAATGTGGAGCTGGAGGAACACAGTGAGTCAGGCAGCATCAGAGGAGCAGGAGAGTCTGCGTTTTGGGTTGGGACCCTTCAAAGTTCAGGTCCTGGATGAAGGGTCCAGACCCAAAACGTCGACTCTCCTGCTCCTCTGATGCTGCCTGACCTGCTGTGTTCCTCTAGCTCCACACTGTGTTGACTCTGACTCCAACATCTGCAATTCTTGCTATCGTCAATTATCAAAGATTTTGTCAAGGGCAACAAGCCTGTGGGAACAATATGCAAATCAGTGTAATTTACAAAACTATATGGTAAGTGGTTAATATCATGTGATGTTGGGCAGAGAGAGTCAAGAACAGCGGAGAAATTTTAACCCAATCTACCAAATGGGAACCAACCTAGAGAATGCTGGAGAAACTCAGCAACGTCTGACAGCATTTGTGGACAGAGAAATGATTTGAGTTCGATATGACTCAAACTCAAAACATTAACTCAGTCTCTGCAGATGCTGTCAGACCTGCTAATTTTCTGTAGCACTTTCTGCTTGTTTCAAATTTCCAGCATCTGCAGTATTCTGCTTCAAACCAGTGGGAAATTGATTGGAGGGGGAGAGCCAACCAATGTATATTTAATTGTTTTCCTCAATAGGATATTTCCAGTGCTGCAAATAACATTTAACTAGAAATCTACTGAGTTCTGTTTTTTTTTTCAGGATTCCCAAAAAGGAATGACCAGCATGAGTGGTAACTATAGTTCTGGAATTCATTCAATGTCGTGGAATAGTCTGACTGATGGCCATAGTGCGAGCTTTAGTCTCAGTCAACGACTAGATCACCAGCAGGACATGCCAAGTCTTTTCAATGGTAAAATAAGCACATTCCCAACACCCATTTGAAAACTTTATATACAACAAGTGAAGGTCTACCATAGTATTGTCAGGATGTAACTTGAATTAGTGTTCAGATGACATAGTGAATCATCGATGTGTATTGATCTATATTTTATGTACCTTAAGGGAAGCAAAGATAAGAAGGAAAGATCCTCATCAAGGTAGAATACATAAAAGATAAAATTGGTCTTGAACAGAAAAGTGTAGAATGTGGAATTGTGAATCAGCTGAAAGAACTGCGGATGCTGTAAATTAGAAACAAAAATAGAGATTGCTGGAAAAGCTGGCAGCATCTGTGGAGAGATGTCAGAGTTAACGTTTCAGGTCGAGTAACCCTTCCTCAGTTCAGAATTTCACTCGTCAGTTCTGACGAAGGGACACTCGACCCAAAACGTTAACTCTGTTTTCTCTCCGCAGATGCTGCCAGACCTGCTGAGCTTTTCCAGCAACTTCTATTTTTGTTTGTGAATCAGCCGCTTGTTTTAGACCCGGCCTGATCTATATTCCGTTTGACTGCAGTCGAAAAATAATTTGTGTGAAGTGCAAAATGGTGGTTAGTTCGCTATCTCACACTGCTGAAGATTAATTGCACCTTTCATAAAAGTTTAGAGTGGTGTAGATGAGTAAACCTAGGATACCACTTTTCAATATGTTATACCGGTAGGATTTTTAGAAAGGCTTTAGATATGAGTAGAAACCATTTAAAACTGCTCTCAATATAAATATCTGAAATTAAATATTTGGAAAAAGTTGAGAGGTTGAACGACGCAAAATCCAAAATCCATAATCCATCTACTCTTTTATATTGGATATTAATATACAGAAAGATTGAATATTTCCTGATTTTAATCAGTGAAATAAATGCTGATAATGTGACTTGCATTATTTGATTCTGGAAATCTTGCTGAAATGGAAGGAAATTAAAATGGTGAGAAACCATTACATCTCTCTCCATTAGTTTCTCACACACAGTGTAATGGCCAAAGGCTATGGCACCTGTGGGTTCTTGTTAATAAATTAGACAAGTAAAGTTAACACTAAAGTAGGTTGATAAACATTTGGACCAATTTCAAAACATGTTGTCTTTAAGCATACTGCAAAACATATGTCTTTAAAGAAGCACTCAAAGTATTATGACCAATGAGTTTTTTTAATGCTGTTTGATGCTTCAAAAAAAATCACTCATAATATATTGGCCATAATTTCTTTCGATTCCTACTGTTGTATTAGTTGGATTGGTGGAAGGGAATCAGGAATTTTGATGCTGATAAATGATTCTGATTAGCATGGCCTGGTCACATTCTTTGTTTAGGTCTGTGTTGAGAAATAGGTAGGAACGTAAACGCAACTGTGCAATTAGCCTAGGGTACCGAGTTGGATAATAATCATATTGAATAGTGGGACAAGCTCAAAAGGCCGAATGGTCTATTCCTGTTCTTATTTTCTGTTTCTCAGCATTTGTTTCCTCCCTCTGAGGCCCCCTCGAGTCTATAGGGAATCCCAAGGGCACAGCTTATTGCTGACATCTTAAGAGGATGAATGGCTCCATTCCATTACACTGAAAGGAAACGGAAGTGAGAGGTCCTGAAACCCTTCCTCTGCGTCTATTGTGAAAGCTCAGACCACAAGATCTGGATGAATCATGAGTGCAAAGGTGTCAAAATCTAACCAAATGACTGAATAAGGTTAATGATATAGGAATGCAGAAGCTAAGCTTTTGGAGACTTGATAGCAATTGGTTGCTATTGCCCCTGAGTTCTTGTGACTAAATTCTATGATTTCTATTCTAGGAGTTGAAGCTAGAATTCACACATTCAGTGGAGAGTGTCTGATTGTACATGATATGCGAAGAGCTACTGTTGGCCAGGTGGCTACAGGTATCAGTAATCTGGTAAGTTTTTCTGAAGGAGAGTACAGTTTATCATGTTGATGTTCGCTGCGATTTAGGTTATGACGAAATTGGGTTAAAGATTTTTCTTAAGGTAGTTTGCGAGGGTGCAGAGCTGATAGGATATAGAGAGAGGAGCTACTTCTGCTGGTTGGGATTCTAGGTTTTGTCAAAAATTTAAGGGGTGAAATCAAGAAAATCTTCCAGGCAATGGCTGGTTGAAATTTCAAACTCCCTTGCTTAAATGGCAGTTGAAGCTCAATTAATTGTCAATTTTAAATCTTGGGATTGATAGATTATTGTTAACCAAAGTCATTAAGCAAAATTGGAAAAGACAGGTATGTGGAGTTAAGGTACAGATCAGCTTTGATCTCTAAGTGGTGAGATTCACTGTGAGTAAATATTCAAAACTGCACCCACTGTCTTTAAAACTTATATGACAGTTTTGTAAGATTATTTAAGTATTTGTGCAGGAAAATAAAATCCCAAATTTTAAAAAATGTGTTATAATTTATGAAGTTTAAATGTCTGGATTGTAGATTGAAAGCACTAATGTCTAATTCATTCCTCATTGACAGATCCAGATTCCTAGTTTCTCGCTGGTGAAACAAAATGGGCATCCTATTTCACCGGACTTCGAAATCCCAGATTCTGGAATTGACCTGCGGTGCACTCCAGCTTCCAACTACAGCAATTCCTGGACCTGGAGGGTTAAGGATGGAAACCTAAATTTCAAGTCTTAATTTTGTTTTTCTGCGTGTATCTTCTGTACTCTAGGATGATAACTCAGATTTGTCATTTCATTGTAATTTCATCACCAAGGCTCAGATTTCTTTAACCACTTGGATCCTCAAACCACATCAATAGTACAAACTAGAATCTGCTGTTCCAAAAATGGTTGTTTATGTTGAAGCATCTGGTTATTTTTCAGTGTGAAATTCCTGATTTGTTGTGTCCTTTTAAATCCTAAATTGGATTATTCATTACATAATTTTTTTAGTGCGAGAAAATAATTCCTACTTATTTAGAAACAGTAGAATCATTAAGAGATTGAGTATCTAATTGTTTGCAAGTACAGTAAATCCCTGTTCATAAATATGTTATACAACACTGGCAAATATTATGCATCTAAATATCTGAATAATTAGCACGATAAAATTGCTGAAAGCTTGCTATCATCAGGCAAATAGCCTGATACTCAACGAAGCACTTTGTTGGATTTCCGTGGAAAGTTACAAGGGGTTTGGTAAAGTGAATTACAGAAGACTGGGTAGCCAGAAGACTGAGATATGAGATAATTGGCATATGAACCAGGGAAGACATTAGGAGATTTTTTTTTTTTTTTGGCAGCTCGTTGTCATAATCTAGAATGCATTGCCTCAAGGGAGATTCCATAATAACTTTCAAAGAGAAATCAGGTCAACACTTGAAGGAAAAAAAATACTGCAGGAGATCTTTTGTATGTGTGGGAATAATAGGTAAGCTGTTTCAAAGAGCACAAGCATGAGGGGCCAAGTGGCCTCCTTCTTCTTTACACGATTCTGTGGTCATCTGCTGCAATAGCAGAAGGTCTACAGAAATACTGGGTAAGCTTCATTAACATTTACCCTATTTCTCCATGTTTTGAGAAAATGTCCATGGAAATCCAAGCCAGTGTAATTAAATATACTTAGATACTTAGTGTCTCGACAATTCAAGCAGGCTGCTAAATGAGTACAACAAGCATTCTAACATGGAACAACAAAGAGTAGGATTGCTAGTATATAATGTGAGGACCGGTTACAGTGGAAAAACCCTCTATCAAGCCACTGTAAAACTAACCTTCAGAAACCAGGGTGTGCAATTATCCCTGTGTGATGCTTAATATTTGCTGGTTTAGATTTCACTCGTCAGTGACTTTTAGTACACTTTCAAAAATCATTTCTTTGTTCAATTTGTGCAAATGGGTTTTCAAAAAAAGGTTTGAGCTAATGCTTGCTTTTTTGCTGCTTCAATTATAAATTTTACAATCACTTGCAGTTAGGGTTTAGTGTTATAGGTTTTGAATATAACATATGAATAGTGCCTTTCTTCCTTTAGATTGTCCTTGGTGTCTTAGAGAAATAGAATCACCTTCAGTTGATTCCAAAATAGAAGTCAACAGAAGGAGATAATACACTGGACATTTTGAGATAAGCTAAGCGTATTGGCTTTCTGGCCACTTCTCGCTGTTCTTGCCACTGATACAATTATTAACCTTGATAGGTCATAGTTCGGTTGTTTCTTGACGTTTTGTTCTCCCCCTCTGGTTGCGTTGAGGCTGCTGAAGCCTTTCACAATGTAGTGTTCAGTGGGGATGTAGCAGATAGTGCAGGCCGTGGAGGCTGAAGAGCAAACTGTTGGCCGCCATGTGGAGTCTGTCATCCAGTTGAGTGTGGCAAGGGGTGAGCTATTCCACCTCGTGTGGGGTCATGGTGATGCATTCTTTCCCCATGAGAAACATTACTTTGTGTCAGCTGTGGTACAAGGTGGTGACGATGCCACTGGGATCTGCATCCTGACCACCTGCCCCTTCCAAGAGGCAGAGCATTAGGAAACTAAGCTGCCGTGGAAAGGCAAGAGGGAAGATGAACTGAAAGGTCTCGCCTTTTAGGAGGACAAAACAATGGACAGCCATATTTTATTTATTTGTGTTCTGTGGAAGAACCAATATATTAAAGATTCTCGTGACAAATGAATCATTGAGGATCACTACAGATGTGCAGCTTTGGTTGACTGGGGAAGAGTCACTTCCCCATACATGCCCAGCCAAATGAGAATGACCTCTTTGCCACTGGTCAGTTCTAAAGGGATTTTCATTGCTGGAAAATGCTGAAGTGATTTGACCAAATTCATTTTAGTATGAAAAAGCATCCTTGGAGGTATCTTTAATAAGAAATAAGTGCCATGTTATACTTCTGCATGTTAATATAGAGTAAGATTCCTATCTGTAGCAAGATGAAGCATTACTATGAGTTGTGGAAACTGTGAGTGTGTTTTCAAATTCCTGGGATTTGTATCAGTCCTGAGATTTGTGTGTGACTTTATAACTTGTGTAATTTCAGAATTGTATTTTGTAAAATGAACCAAGGGCTGGGCACTGGGACTTGAAAGAATATCTCCAGTATTACCAGTCTGCAAGATTGCTCGAAGGTTCTTGTGTTTTACTCTGCCATACCTGAGACAGGACAGTTTATAAACTTACGGGGTTACGTCACAGGTCTGGTTTGTACTGAAATTGAAGCATTGCTATTTTCTCCTCAAAGTCAGAATGGTCAGTTTTGAAGTCATCAAATAGCATGGCTTAAGTGAATTTGAATTGGTGTTGATGGCTAGTGTGCATGCCTCAACTAAAGTCTTTGGCTAAGTAAAGTCTTTGGCTCACCATTAAAGAAAATTAATAAAAAGACTGGTCATCCATATAACCTGCTGTAAAGTGCGATAGCAGCAAATAACAATCCTCTTTCCCTGGATTGCGTTTGACTTGCTAATCGGATATATGGATCTTTTCTCATATAATATTTTAAAATATATATATATTGAAAAGTTGTATTTTTTGAATAGAAAATATAACTACTGTTATAAATAATATCGCTTTTAATCAGAAACAGGACCTTTGCTGTACTGTAGAAACTTGAGGAAAGTTATGCCAAGTACGGATTTTTGTGCAGCTGGGGGAAAATGCTGGGCAGGACCCAAAAATGGTAGTCCAACCCTCATTTCCAACAAATACAATTTTTGTAGTGTGGTTGGTTGGATTAATAGAGGCTGGTCTCGGTATTTGGTAAAGGATAACAGTTAGGTTCCAATTAAAATGGCTTGTTTGTATCCCAATAGGATGGGATATCTAATGAGTAAGAAACTTTAAGGAGAATTCAAACATTTTGACTTTATAATAAACTTTACTGATTGGCCAACAATTAATAAGCAGCTCAGAGAGTTCATGATAGTTAATACCAGTCATTTTCAGCATTTTAATGTCTTTATTTGTACAGCAAGCTTTATGATCTGGAAAGTGTAGTGGTAGCAGATTCAATAACTTCAATAGATAATTGAATAAATACTTGAAGGAAGAAAGGTTATGAAGAAAGAGTGATGGAGTGGAATTGATTAGATTACTTTTTCAGGAGCCAGCACAGATATAATGACTTCCTCCTAAGTGATGATTTTAAAACATACAGAAAAAATCCATATTTAGTTAAAGTAATTGAATATGTAACGTTCTAAATTCAACACCTGATATTGCTCCCAGTACTGATGTATCTATAATTATCTTTTGCCTGTTGGCATAAAGTTCACAAGGCATACTTTGAAACATATATTTGGAAGGGCAGATTGCACTGTAGAATATTTTGCATCTCTAAAGTAGATATATAGCTTGAGAGACTCCCACTGCTATTGTTAGGCTTTTACTAAAATGCTGGTGACAACATTACTGTGATTCTAGAGTTTATAATCTGGTTGCACTGGTGTTAGTGCCACATTTCAAGTCTTGTGCCCTTCCCTATGCTTTATTGAATGTCTCTTAAAATGCACCTGACTAATGAATGTAACCCTTGTTTGGATGATTGTGGTCGCAATAACTAAGTAGCTTGTATTTTTATCCAGTGGCTATCAATGGTAAGCTCATTTCATTTATGTGAACAAAGGGTATTTTGAAATGAGTTAATGAAATATCACCTTGCACAATATCATTGATTTGTACCCAGATAAAATAATAAAGCGTTTCTAATGTTGTACTTCTTTGTTTTGCGGTACATTTCTCATTTAATGATTTCTGATGAGAGGAGTTGAAAAAATACTAGGGAAACTCACAGGCATAAAGGATGACCAGTCCTCTGGACTTGATGTCCTCCATTTTCATCTTTTTAAGAGAAGCGATTGCAGAGAAAGGGTGAATGCATCAGTTGCAATCTTCTAAAATTCTTTAGCGTCTGGCATGGCCCAAGCAGCTGGGAAAACAGCAAATTTACCACCTCTATTGAAGAAATAAAAAAGGGAGACAGAAGTCAGGGAACTACAAGACAGTTATTCCAATGACACCACGATCAAGTAAGTAAGTTGTCAAGAGGAGCTAGAGAGTCTGCAAAGGGATATATATTATAAGATCAAATGAATGGAAAATGTCTTGTGGTGGAGTATAATGTGGGAAAATGTGAAATTGGCAGGAAGAATAGAAAAGTGGCATAGTAGTTAAATGAAACAAAAACAGCAATTCCTGAGAAAGCCACTAGATCTGGCAGCATCTGTGAAGAGAAAACAGCTGTTCTGAATAAGAGTCACTGGACTCGAAGCATTAACTGTTTCTTTCTCCACAGATGCGACCAGATCTGCTGAATTTCCTAAGCAATTTCCTTTTTAGTTTCAATAGAAAACTGCACATTAATGAGTTAATAAGGTTATTAATAAGGAACAATCCTCTTTAATAGGCAAACCACTGCTGCCTAGTAAGGATCTCACCTCGACACCCAGAATTTTGATTAAATGATGCAGCAAGTTGTTCCCACTGTTGAAATCGATCTTGCTGGAACTCTTACAACATTCTGCCTCGTTTCTTGCCAGAATCCATGTCATTCAGGCCCCTATGAGATTCCATCTGTAGTATCTGAAATGGTATCCGCCAACATTTTAAATATGGTGCCACAGCTTGGAAGCTACATGGCCCATTGTTGAGCACTTCTGTCTTGCTTACCAAGAGACTCACTGAGTAATGAGCCCAAAATTCTGACTTTCATAATTGAGGAGTGATCAGAACCGGCTTTGGTTGGAGATAAGGAAATAATATTTCTCACCAGGATCATTTGTCCATTGAATTATCTTCCCCAGGAAGTAGCGGTGGCTAAGTCGCTGAATTTGTTCAAGGCTGAATGAGATGGATTTTTGATAGACAAAGGGGTTATGGGAAGACAGACAGGAAAGTGGAGTTGAGACTGCAGCTAGATCAGCCATTATCTGCTTGACTGGCACTGGAGGGTCAAAGAGCCAAAAAGCCTGTTCTTGCTCCAGAGTCCTATGATTCATCCTCTGTGATTCGGGAAAATGCAAGAATTCATTATTAAGGAGGCAGTAGCAGGACATTTAGAAAATTGTTGTACAATTAGATGAGTGTGGTTACGTGAGAAGGGAAATTGACAAATTTATTAAAACTCTTTGAGGCGGTAATAAGTAGGGCTGAATGAGGCTATAATATGCAGAGCTGATAAGGGAGAACAAGGAGAGTGGCCTGTTCCCACACTGTAGGGGATTCTATGATTAAAAAGGACAAAATAAAAGGGGCAACATGGTGGCTCAGTGATTAGCACTGCTGCCTCACAGCACGAGGGTCCTGTGTTCAATTCCACCATTGGGCAATTGTCTGTGTGGAGTTTGTACATTCTCCCCGTGTCTGCGTGGGTTTCCTCTGGTTCCTCCCACAGTCCAAAGATATGTGTGTTAGGTGGATTGGCCATGTTAAGTTGTCCATCGTGTCTGGCGGTATATAAATTAGGTGGATTAGACACCTAAATTGGGGAAGTGCATGGTTATGAGGAAAGGGTAGGGTAATGGTCCTGCATGGGATGCTCTTCAGAGGGGTGGTGTGGACTTGTTGGGCCAAATGGCCTGTTTCGACACTGGGGGGGATTCAATGATTCTATTCTATACTAATTAAATATCTAAAAGGTAATCAATAAGATACCACAAAAAAAGCTTAAAGATAAGAGTTTATTGTAGGGGTTGTTATATTAATATAAGGATACATTGTCTTAACTTCAAAGGCTATAGTAATCTATTAAGTCATGGCCTGCACTTCTTCCTGCTGCTTTAGTCCTAGTTATAGTGGCTCTTGAGGTACCCCTTCCTCTGTACCTCTGCTATCATTTAGTAGGTTCATGATGAATCTTTGGATTAAATCCCTTTCCCTGGCTGCTAACGTTGAAGGCAATGTTGTTCCTTCCCTCTACACCTTTGTCTCTCTCCTTTACACATTTCATTGGCCTCCTCTCTGTCAACAACAGATAAAGGATGACATCTCCCAAATAGCTGACCTTCATCTTAAGAGTCTGAGCTTCACAGACCATCATGGCCATTTATTGGTCAGGGAGCTGGCAGCTCATGACACCCATTTGTGAAACTGAGGGCAACATTTGTTTTAATCCAGAGGTAAATTTATTTGAGTTAGTGCCCTTCTCCATCAATCTCAATGACCTCCCATTGTTTGCTTGTGACATCACTGTCTCCCCACAGCCCAATGGGATTAAATCCTTAGTTCCTGACATCAGTCTTCGTACTCCAGACTTCCCAATGGATTAGGTGACTTTTCACCAACAATTAGAACATTCAGGATCATTGTAATGGAAGGTTTTATCATATGGTGTTAATTGTTTATATGTTTTGTGATTTGGTGGTTATCAACTGCAGTCTGTAAATACTTCCCAAGAAAGTGATTTGTTCTGCTTTTTTACAAAAATCAGATGTTACATCAAGGTCATATTTTCCCCTCATTTTCCACTCATCTGATATCTGATTCCGCGGCGTCTCCTTGAGTGTAGACCTAAATTATTCAATGAAATAGTTGAGCATGCAAATGGACATTGGCCAGAGGCTGGTTAGAGGTAGGTCAGGAGGCAGGAGTGCAATGCAGCCACTGTATGTGCAACACAAAGTGAGAGAGCTCTCCGACTGAGGTAGACAACACACACAGACAAGTATTGGGAGAGATCGTGAGATAGAACTGCAGTCGCCAAATCTGATGTAGGGCTCAAGGTTCAGCATTGATCAAGAGAGATTTATTAAACAAATATATTTTGAGTTTAAAATGTGTTGTAATTTAGATAGGTGATCCACCAATACTAATCCATTTGGAAAGGGGTTCGTTCAACAAAAGAATTAAAAAAGCCATTCTTATAAGATTGAGAGGCCATCTTATGACAGTGGTATTGTCTCTATTCCTGAACCAGAAGGCTCAGTTCAAGTCCCACCTGCTCCAGAGATGTGTAATAACATCTGTGAGCACCTTGATTAGGGAAAAAAGGTTAAAAAACAATAAGAGGTTAGCATTTGTTAGCTTGGCTCAGCTGGGAGATCTGATGAACAGTCTGACATTTTCCTTACAAAAACTGACTAATTTGCTGTTTTCTTTTAGATCAGATGTTATATCAAGGTCATAGTTTGCCCCTTGTTTTTCAGTGATCTGATATCTGATTACATGACATCTCTCTGAGTGTAGGCCCAAATTATCTCCATCCACCATCCACCCTCCTCTGCCTTCTAGATTCATAGAGACAGACCCTTCAGTCCAACTCAGCACCTCACATTTACCTAAATTAAACTCCATTGGCCTGGCCCATCGAATAAAGGTCCCGTTGTAGTCTGAGGTGACCTTCTTCGCTGTCCACTATGCCACCAATTTTGGTGTAATCTGCAAACTTACTAACCATACCTCCTGTATTCAGATCCAAATCATTCATATAAATGACAAAAAGCAGTGGACCCAGCAGCGATCCTTCTTGCACACTGCTGGTCACAGGCTCCAGTCTAAAAAGCAACCCTCCACCACTACCCTCTGTCTCCTACCTTCGAGCCAGTTCTGTATCCAAATGGCTAGCTCTCCCTGTATTCCATGTGATCTAACCTTACTAACTAGTCTACCATGTGAATCTTGTATAACGCTTTGCTGAAGTCCAAACCAACAATGTCCACCGCTCTGTCTTCATCAATCTTCATTGTCACTTCTTCTAAAAACTCAATCAAGTTAGTGAGACACAATTTCCCACAAAGCCATGTCCACTATTACTGTTCAGTTCTTGCCTTTCCAAATACATGTAAATCCTAAGATTTTAGAGTAGGTTTGTAACTCGGGTTGTGGATGTTGTGATGATGATGACCACAAGACTCCTACGACCATTGGGCTTCAGAGTAGCACACAAACCCACATCAACCCTTCGCCAACTGCTCACCCAAACCAAAGACCCACTACCCATTATGGACAGGACCAAAGTCATATACAAGATTCCCTGCAAAGACTGTGAGAAACACTACATTGGACAAACAGGAAGGAAATTAACCACAAAGGTACATCATCATCAATTGGCAACAAAAAGACACGACTGATACTCACCCATCTCCATCCACATGGATAAGGAGAACCGTCAATTTGATTGGGACAACACCAGGATCCTGGGACAAGCAAAGCAGAGACAAGCCCAGGAATCCCTAGAAGCCTGGTACTCTACTAAGAAATCCATCAATAAACACAGAGCTAGATCCCACGTACACTTCATTGCGAAGTAAAACCGGAAGTGAGGTAATCCAGCTCAATGGACACCAGAGTTCAAATAACAGGTGGGAAAACACAATGGCGCTTCATCGGAGGCTGCACTGATGATGTTACCCAGCAGGGTAATGAAACGTCTGCGGAACAATGAACCAGCTCGGTGAGACAACCAACCACAACATGTAAATCCTGTCCCTCAGCCCCCTCCAACAACTCACCCACCATTGATGTCAGGCTTACTGGTCGATAGTTCCCTGGCTTTATCTTAACACCTTTCTTAAATAATGGCACCACATTAGCCGATGTCTAGTCTTCTGGCAACTCACCCGTGGCTATCAATGATACAATTATCTCAACAAGGGATTCAGCAATCACTTCTCTAGCTTCCCAAAAAGTTCTGGAGTACGCCTGATCAGGTCCCATGGATTTTTCCGCCTTTATGCATTTTAAGACATCAAGCACTTCCTCCTCTGTGATATGGACACT